AAGAAGAAGAAGAAGAAGAAGAAGAAGAAGAAGAAGAAGAAGAAGAAGAAGAAGAAGAAGAAGAAGAAGAAGAAGAAGAAGAAGAAGAAGCAGCTGGATGGCATGGCTGGGTGGCATGTTGTGGGTCTTCATGGTATCCTTCACACTCTCAATCCGGGTCTTCCCTTTCCTCGATATCCTTTGGTTGTAGCCTACGGTTTGCTGGCAAGCTGATGAGGTGCCATACGTGTCAGATGTCTAAACCATCAGATTGTTTACCTCTGAGTGTAGTGGAGGACAGGTGTTGTTCCCATCATTTCTCTGATATTGGTGTTTCTTATAATGTCTTGTTTTGTCGACGACTTCTCTCAGACATCCCATCTCGCAAATGTTATCTTACGTGCTAGACTCTCTAGCATTGGTAGGTCAAGGTGGGGATAGAGATAGAGTCAATGAGCCTGGCTTTGGTCTCAATGGGGATGTTAGGATGTTTGAAGAGTGGGGACAGCTGGTAGCTGACACTGTCAGCCTTCTGAATAATTGTCTCATGTCTCAGTTTCTTTGTTGAGACGTCTGTCTTTCAAGATGATACTGGTAAGATACTTAAACTCGCTGACTTGTGTCAGTGGAGTTTCATCAATGCTGATGCTGAGGTTGCCAAGTGTTCTGCTGATCATCATCTCGGTTTTGCTTTCGCTGATCTTCATGTTCAGCTCTTCACACTTGAGTATTCAGACTGTGTGCTCTTGAAGTTGCTCTTCTTTATCATATGTCAGGTTTGGTAGTTTGCAAACACCATCTCATTCAGGTTTTTCGGGCTTGAGTTTGCTTCTTTCATAATTTTGTCCAAGTATATGATGAAAAGTCCTTTGTGCACAAGAATGAAAAGCTTAACCTTCACCCGAAAGATGCCAGACACAGACAATTTACGGGGTCCAATACTTAGGATTATAGGGGGGTTCTGGGGAGAGATAGTACCTTTGTTGCTTGGCTGCTGCTTCCTACTTGTAGGATGGACAGGCGCACTGGTTCTCCTCCAGACTCCTACCTAAATCTCTCACACGTGGCTCCAAGTGCCATACCCCGGGACCTCGCCTCAGCAGGCGTGCCAAACTGTGAGAGGGGCTGATGTTAAAATGGCATCCCTGGGCGTAACCACAAGACACGGTGACCAGTCAGGGTGGAAAAAGTTCCCAGGCAAACCTAACGGCTTCGTGTTCGAGACCAAGGTGAGCCTCCGGATGGGAGGATTTTGGCCGTGGTCAGGCATGGAGAGGGATGGGCTCCGCCATGCGACATTGCCCAAAAAACGCCAATGAAGACAACAACCAGAAAGAATCCCACATCGGCTCGGTCATTGCCCGGAACAAGGACTACCTCTTATGTTGATGGTCACCAGCTGAAGACCGGAAGGAGTGGAGGAAGCTGTTGGCCAAATCTTCAAAAGTGCCCCGACGGACATCCAGTCTACGGGATAGGTGAAGGTGATACTATAATTAGTATTGTACTCCGATGCTGTGTTTATGACTCTTTTAGGGAGCACCCCTACCTCAGTTTGTCTCATGCTGGACAATAAAGTAAATGGCCCTGGTTCGAATCTCTAATGGGACGTTCTCAATTCAAGTTGTTTTGGGGAGATTTTTAGGCACTCCATTTGGCCTCGTCCTATCAGAGGTCCTGCCTCTAAACTACCCTTAGATTTAGAGTATTGAGAGAGACATTAAACTTATACAACGACCGGCTATGGCTCTCTTGAACACTGTAAGGACAAGAGGCTGGATAATGTTCATTAAAAAGACAAAGCTTTTGTTAATTATCACAAAAACAATTTATTTTCAAAATGTTTCAGAACATTGTGGACGGACAGGAAGGCATCTGAGATGACGATAAAAGCTGGAATAAAGGAATGTTCCTGAAGGCAATAAATTATATAGACCAACTAACAGGCCGACTCTTAGTAACCTGATGATGTGTATATTTACAGAAAGTCATAAAATGTACTGATCGGCCTGCATGTCAAATTGTGAATATTTCTTTCAGTAATAAAATTTTTTTGTACATGCAAAAGTACCGTTTTGAGGCACTGGAAAAAAATGTAATTGATGCTTACTAAATTTTTTTTTTTACATATCAAAAAACAGCATTGCCATCTTCAAGTTAAAGCTGTGAAGAACATTTTCACTTGTTCAACTATATTTCAAAACAGCCAAAAAATAAACATTTTTCTATAAATAGAAGGAAAGTTACACAGTAAAAATTAAAAAAAAATATTGTCCCAATAGCAAAGGTGAGAAAACATTTTCTTTTTACCTTTCTAAAAATGCTTTGAAAACAATTCAAAGGCGGAATGCACCATGAGAATCTCTCTCTACTGAGAATATTCTTTAAAGATTTCACAAACTTTGGTCCATACATTTCATTTCAGAGTAGATTTTGTAACTGAAAAAAAATGCATGACAACCATACACAGAAACCATGCATACACTATGGCTCGGAAAGACAGCAATGCTGACCATTGACTGCCTTTCTTTGAAATTGATAGCAGAATTTTTCTCATGTGAACAAGTAAGTTTTATTTTCTTGTTTCGTCTTATTTCTTGCGGTAAAGGAAGACTGCCACGCCTTTATCTTTAGATAAAGTTACTACTGCAGAGAGTTGAGAATTTGGTCAACTCAGTACCGGTACATTCAGAATCAAGGTAAGAAAATCAGAAGCAGATTCCTGCCTTTGGAAGAAAAGCAGTAACTTGTGCTAAAAACTTCCTCTCCCAGTTCGTAACAGTACGCTTCACTTGTTCTTACGAGCATTCAGAATTGAATCACTTTAAAAAAAGCATAGATGAAGGGATTCATTTGGAGTGGGGGGGAGGGGGGGGGGGGCAGCACTTCTCATCATTCTGGTCAGTTTATGTCATTAAAAAACAAATGTGAAAAATGCTGGCATTACTCATTAAAACTTGTCAAGCTAGGACAGGGGAAAATGTCGGATAGAGTGTCTAGGAATACATTTTTCGTCATAAAAACAACCTTTCTATTATATTATATCACAGTACTCGGGCAATCAGGAAAAAAATGCTGCCCCTAGAATGCTGGATTGCCAAACCCATAGGCGATCTGTTCTTGGTGGATCTCTGCCAGGAGTGGACCTTCCTCAAGATTCAACTGCAACAAAGAGACAGAACATTAGCAAAAGAGAGTCGAATAGGAAAATTATACTTTACATACAATTATAATGCACCTAAACTTTGAGAATATCTCAGAGAAACACGGTAAAAAGTTGTTCTTGTTCTTGTTCTTCTTCCCACTCCTCCTTCTTCTCCTCCCCTTCCTTCTCATCCTCCTTCTATTTCTTCCTTTCTTCTATTTCTTCCTTTCTTCTATTTCTTCCTTTCTTCTTCTTCTTCTTCTTCTTCTTCGTCTCCTCCTTAATTTCTCCTTCCTCTTTTAGTTAACTTACTACAATCCTTTCTGCAAGACAAACAACTAAATTTAAAATAAATAAACAGAAAAAGAAAATAGAAACCAATCCACTTTGTCAAGCTCAAGTAGATGGGTAATCTCACCTTGACTGCGTACTTGTAAGCCTGCTCAGCCTCCAGTCTGCGGTTGGTCTTGAGACAGACCAGGGACAGGTAAGCCCACACCTCCGGGTCATTGTTGTTGAGCACGTTTGCCTCGGACAGGGCATCCTCTGCCTCAGATAGTTCATCCAGCTGGGGACGGATGCAAGAAAAAATGTAAGAGTCGTTGCTGCTGCTGTTGCTGTTGTTTTTGCTGCTGCTGCAGCTACTGGCATTGCTGCTGCTGTTGATGTTGTTGGTCCTATCATTAGTCCTGTTGCCTTTGTTGCTGCTGTTGTTTCTATAGTTATTGTTATTGTTGTTGATGTTGTTGTCCCTGATGTTGTTTAGCTGCTTCTGCTGCTGTTGTTGTTGTTGTTGTTGTTGCTGTTGCTGATGTTGTGTCTGTTTGAATTACTGTCTTTTTTGCAGCTGTTGCTTAAGTGTTATTGTTGAATGGTACTGTCTTGGGATTTAAAATGATAACAGTCACATTTTACTGGACTGTAAGATGAGGGTAGTGCAACTGTAGCAAATCGATAAAAGTTAGAAGGCACAGACCACATCAGACTGTCCATCAACCAAATGTAAAAAAAAAACCTGAAGAGAAAGTGGAGATTTTGGATGGAGAAAAAAGCAGAAAAAACAACAAAACAATCGGTGCAAATGGTGACAATGAAACTTGTGCTGAGATTTTTGTAAATAGTAAAGTTTTGCATCAGAGATTAAAATTAGTTGCTAATGTTTTTGACATTTCATGCCCCCAATGACACAGTTTAGACCGTTTAAGATGGCGGACTATTTTGACCTGTCTGTCAGGGTCAACCCACGCTGCATAAGTACATCCCAGCAGAAAGATGAAGAAACTCAATATGATGTCTTTCTTGCATAAAAAAGAAATGTCTTTCTTGCATAAAAAAGAAATATCGCTCATACAAAACAAAACATAGACTTTCAGGCATTCATTAAAAAAATTGAATAAAGCAGGCACTTACATGTATTTTTACAGCTATGATAATCATGATTTAGCCACCCAAGTAATGGTCATAGTCTGTCCTGACCAAAAGCTATAATATTTTGTTTGTTTGTCTTTTTTAGTGTAAGAGTTTTACCCATTAACACAATTTAGATCATTTAGGAGGTGGGCTTTGACCCTGCTTTTCAAGACCAACTCAGGCAGAGAGGGATACAAAGTACAAATAAAAGATTGAGATATTCCCTAAAAATTCTGCCCAAATACGAATTGAACTCAGGCCTTCTGCATACAAAGGTGAAGTGCCTAAAGGCTACACCACATAAGCCAGGTGAAAATTTTTAAAAATCAAAATTGGTCAAAAGTGCAAGTAGGCAAAGAGAACCATTATATTCTTTCTAGAAAGAGAACAAATCATCTCACCCTATAACAAGCGATGCCAACTCCGAGCCATGAGACGCAAGATGGGGATTTCTTACAGGCCATGAGGAATGTGGTCTTGGCATCTTGGAACTGAAACGAAAAGAGATAAGTAAACACAACTGTTTTAATTAGAATACATCTTAATGTGAAGAAGCCCTATTGTAGTACTCTGCTTAAATAAAACATAAAAGTTCAAGAGACAAAAGAAATATTTGTCTTCAGGCCAGCAGGAAATATTCACTTTTCAAATGATATAGGTGAATACGTTTAAAATGTGAGCATATTAATTAATACTTTTCAGAACATAGGGAAGAGTAAAAGTAGCATATTAAAAAACAAATATTTATTTCAAGATCATACTTTTCCCTCGAAGGGCACTTTTGCATTATTTACTTATTTATTAATAAAAAACAGAAAAGTCTACAATAACAGGCCACATTTCTTTCTCACATATAGACGTATAGATGGCATATTATCATTTCCTTTTCTAGATGGACTACATCACTTGACAACATCAAATATCCCTCAAATTTCAGGGAAACTGAAACTGAAAAAAATTTCCTCATGACCTCACCCTCTTCTCCTGCAAGTATATTGATGCAAGTCGCAAGTAGATCGAGTGCATCTCACTGGCATCATTGACAAAAGACAGAGTTCGTTCATAGCAGTCCCTCGCAACGGCGCAGTCTCCGGTCATGTACTTCACATGGCCCATCAGTGACCATGCGTCAGGGTTCTGTTCAGTAAATCATGGTTTGAACAGAGTTAAATGTTTGTTAAATAATGTAAAGTTGAAATTTTTTAAAGATGAACACCCTTCATCTAGTTGAAAAGGGGGGGGGGGGGGGGGAGAGTAGGAAGTGGTCGTTAATACAGGTGATTGTCTTGGACAGGTGGCCATTAGAGCAGGTTCAACCGTATATTATGGGAATTTCAAAATGTGGTTATTGTTGAATTGATTTCCAATGAGTCAGCATGCCCAACACATTTCACAAGGAATTGAAAATTATAATCATTGGTATGAAAGGAAAAGTACATCTCATGACAGAAATAGCCTCAACAACCCATAGTATAAAAAGTAGAAATTGACAAATAAGTTGATAAAGAAAAACTAAATTAAAAAATCTATAACTTTGAAACCCACTCCATTTTAATAGAGAGAGCACACATAATCACATACAGAGATCTACACAAACATGACATATAGAAAAATCAAGCAGCATTTACCTTAAGAGAAAAACAATGAATGAAATTAATTCACACTATACAGGCAAGAGACAAAATATTCTCGTAACAGATACTCCCCAAAATACCTGCACAAAATATAAGACATGATTATAAAGACACAAGTACATATTGTTGAGAAGCTGAGACGTAGTTAATAGTAAAAAATGTGTTCCCGCATCCGATCTGGACATTGGGGATTGCCTTGTTAGAGAGACAACTTCCTGGGCCTTCGGTATATTGTGGTAGAGTAGCCAGTCCCTTTCCATGCCGCTTTTACTTCCCCAACTCGAAGTCAGGAACCCATTACTGCTGGGTGAGCAGGAGGGGGCAAAAAAAATCCTTGTCCTAATCGAGGCTTGAACCCGTACTTTCTGCTTCGGAGACAGGCACACTAACCACTCTGCCACCGCACCCTCTATAGTTAATAGTAAGTTGGCATAATAATGAGAATGTCTCTCCAGAAAAATAAAAAAAGGTAACCATTCTAAAAAGTCACACAGCAACAAACATTATCACCCCTACCTGGAAGTCAAACTGCAGTGCCTCATTCAGGTTCTCCTCAGCTTCTGCGTATTCTCCTTTCTGAAGCCGGAGTCGTGCCAGGGAGATGTGATAGGAAGCATTGGGTCCTCCGCTGCACGTCAAAAGCTCATGGGCCAGAGCCCTCTCAGTGAACTGCCAGCATAGAATGGAGGGGGGGAGGAAATCAGTAACTGTATGGATTTAACATCTCCTTCAATATTGTAAGGTTGTTTTACGAGGAAGGACATTCGAATCTAATTCTATTTTTGAACTGGCCAAGCCAAATAAGTGAGAGCCTTGAAAACTCCAGAAATAACCGAAATTCAAAACCAGCTTCCTGGAGACTCGAACCAGAGTCACCCAAACTATATAGAATGGGTGATATGTCAGCATGGAAGATAAAAAGAAAGACATAACTTCAACCAGAGGTGTACCTGTTAGGTGCTTAGCTGTCACAGGCTAAAGACCTCAGTTCAATTCCTGTGTGGAGAGAACTTCTGTGTCTTGGATGGTCTTTCTGCTGGGACATTGTATCCCTGTCAGCCTGGGCTAACCCTGACAAGCAGGGTAAAGCCTACCTCCTAAAAGACCTAAATTGTGTCAAAGGGGGCATAACAGCACCTACATTTAAAAGAAAAGCAGCTAAGGGGGAATTTGTCAGCTTAAAGGTGAGGTGCATCCCCCCCCCCTGCCCCCCCGAAGATAGAGAAAGACTGATACAGTGAAAGAAAGATGGGATGTATCACTCATCCCAAATTAAGGCATGATCTCCCGTGATAGCACTTTCGCAATCTCCATCAAACTAATCTAAAAGCAACATTTCCAAAACTTGCATGTGCTAGGTACATTGATCTCTCACAACTACTATTTGTGCATGTGCATCTGTGTATGTGATTGTGTGTTTGTATGTATGCATGTGTGTGTGTTTGTGTGTGTGTGAGAGAGAGAGAGAGAGAGAGAGAGAGAGAGAGAGAGAGAGAGAGAGAGAGAGAGAGAGAGATTATTTGTGTGTGTTGACAAGTGTGCTTGCATGGATGCATTTACCATGCCACAGCATATTTCTCAATGGAGATCAACAAATCAATAAATTATTGTTATCTCACTCATGGTATCTTATCTTACCGCCTCCAAATTCCTCTCCGTCCTCCCTCCCCCACACACATAAACACACACACAAACATATACACACACACACACACAAACACACACACACACACACTGACTCACCGGCACTGCCTTGACCTCCAGTAGCCAGTCCACTGCCTGCATGAAGATGCTGGAGGTAGGGACGGGCGTGGGCTCACGGGGAGGGGGCTCCTCCTGGTGCTCAGACTCCTGTGGTGTGCGACTCCCGCCTCGCTGCTGGCTCCCGGGCCGAGACGGAGCCAGGCCCGTGGACTTGGCAGAGATGGGTTTGGAAATAGAGCCTGTGGGCCGATGGGAAGGAGGAATTTAAAATTTAAGAATAGCGGTCATTTTTTTACTTTGTAGTGTGAGAGGTGAGGCCAAAGATGGGTTTGACAATAGAGTTTGTGAAGAGATGGGAAGAGAAACGTTAAAGGGCACTTGATGAAGATGGGTTTGAAGAGAGGTGAGGCCAGAGATAGGTTTAGAGAAAGAACCTGTGGGGCGATGGGAAGGGAGACGTTAAAGGATACTAGATGAAGATATGTTTGGAGATGGAGCCTTTGGGGTGGTGGGAAGGGAAATATTAAAGGATACTAGATGAAGATTGGTTTGGAAAGAGAGCCTGTGAGCAATGGGAAGAGAAATGTTAAAAGACACTAGATGAAGATGGGTTTGAAGATAGAGGTGAGGCCAGTGACGGGTTTGGAAATAGAACCTGTAGGGTGGTGGGAAGGGAGACGTTGAAGACGTTAAAGGATACTAGATGAAGATAGGTTTGGAAAGAGAGCCTGGGAGGGTGGTGGGAAGGGAGACGTTAAGAACTGCTGCAGACACTTTATTTTTTAGAGTGAGAGGCGATGCCGCAGATGGGTTTAGAAATAGAGCTAGTGGAGCAGTGAAATGGGAGATGTTAGAAGATACTAGATGAAGACACTTTGTAATGAAAGTGTGAAGGGCTATGCCAGATGGGTTTGGAAAAAGAGCCTTTGAGACTGGGGGAGGGGGGGGGGAAGGGGGTGCTTAGAAAAATTGAGGTTGTTTTGCGGTGTGAGAGCTGCAAGGCCAGAAATAGGTTATTTGGCAAAAGAACCTGTGGGATCAGAAAGCGAGGGGCAGGGGTTAAAAAACTGACAATCCTCTGGACTGTGAGTGGCTAGGCCAGAGATGGAAATCGAGCCTATGGGACACGTGAGGAGGTTGGTGGAGGTGAAAGGTGAAATGAAGAATGGAGGGCGTGTTGCTCTGAAAGAGTGAGTGGTGAGGTCATAAACCTTTCTTTAGTTTTGTTTTTTGGGTTGAAGTGAGGTGGAGAGCATAAATGAGGAACAAAAGCCTTGAGGTCAGTCGTAAGAAAAGGTCCAGAGGAAGGAAGGGGGTTGGGGGTAGAAAGCACAGAATGGAAAGGACCGATGCTATTTCAGTCATAGTGTGGGTTGGTGAAAGGCAGGTATTGTGGAAAAGGAAAATTGCTTTTAAAAGCAAATTGGAGCAGGGTTTTAATGACACAAAAGTGCAGTTGTACTTGACAGTCATACTAAGTATTTGAAATCAGAGGGGGGTGGGGTGGGGGGTGGGGGTTATCAGTGTCTGCAATCACTGTCAAAGTTAAATAGTAATAAGAAATTCAACTATCATCTTTCAAGACGCTCGTCGATGTGTCTACAATTATGTGACAAAATGATTCCTTGAAGGTATTATTCAAGAAACACCAAATTAGGATTTATAGATACTTGATATCAGGACAGTGTCAACTGAACCGCTTCCAATACTAATACTAATGCTAAACATTGGTTTAAACTCTACAACTTCAGCAAATTAATCAGAATAAAGGCTCTCAGAATCTCCACGAAAATATATGTTGTTGCTTGCGACCAGGCTAATCAAAAACAGACCCAACAGCACAGCCAAGCTGTTCACAGTTTCTTCTATACATACGTTTTTCCTGCGCTAAATATTTCAATTAGGACAACTTTTGTACTTGTATACATAATAAGCAAATCAGTAGGCTACCTAGCGCAAATCTGTAATTCAGAAAAAAGTGTTTGTACTTTTCTTTTCACGGCACTGTAGATGGCATCATTACATGTCAGAGCAGGAAAGAGTACATGTATTGGGGAAAATTAAGTAACACCCAATAAGGAGTGTAAGAAAGAGCAAGTCGCACTGAAACCCCATTCTTGGCCTCACCCTTTCCCTATACCCCATATCCCTCATTTCACTTCTCCCATTCTCATCCTTCTCCAACTGTCTGCTTCTATTTAATGGTGTTATGAGGTATTCTGCCTATTTATGAATTTAACGCACTACTAGGGAAAAGAGGTCATTTTGAAGGTGGAACAACAAGTACTTATTGCAGGCTAATCAGCTTAAAGGCTGTCCATTGAATCATTGAAAAGAAATTAAGATGATTGACAAAAAATCCAGCATCTGGTTAAGATGCCCCCCCCCCCAAACCCAACCTAAGAAATTATTAAAAACAGAGAGACGGAGACAGAGACATAGACAAAGAAGGACAATATAGATATAGGAAGAATGACAAGATATATATGGACAGAAAACAGCCACCTGTGAACCAGTGTATAAAAAGAGGTACGACGGCATGTTCAGTCATGCACTTGACGCCAAAAGCTTAGCTTGCATCCCAACTGCAGATTACAACAAGCGAATGCAATACCAGCCATTGTAAACCACCAGGACCAAATTATGAAAATATTATAACAAAGTAGCTCTGAAAATAAGGAGGGGCACACCACACCAGAGCACCCTTCAACGATCCACTCAGGAAAGCCATAAATTGGCATTTTACACAGAGAATGAGTTGTAAGACATGCACACAGTTATAGTATGTAATCATAAGTCAAAAGATAGAAAAGAAGTATATCAAAATTCGCTCCTGATAATATTTTCATTAAATTTACTCGTATTGGAAAATATTGTTTTCTCAGAATTTAAGAGGTCCATGGTTTCATACTGGCAATATTCAGTAAGGTTGGGTTTTTTTTTCCATAGTAAATCATGCAATACGGTCTAGAAACTGAAAATTGTGAAAGCATACTAGCGTTACATGTACCATTGCCTTACATTCTACAAAGCAGGGCCAAAGAAAACAAGCGCACGAAATAAGCAAAATTCACTGAAGCTGGATAGTCTTTGGACATACATGCCCAATCATTGTATTTATCTTAAAGAGAAAACAGATGACGTTTTAATTATCATCAATAAACAAAAATGTGAAATCGTACAAAAAACCCCAGTGAATTTAGGAGTCCAAAATCTCAGCTTTGCCTCATATAGACATAATCTCAAATAAAAAAATACTTCGACATTGATGAATCTGCAAGTTAAGGTTAACAGAAAAGCACTATCATAGCTAAGGTTTGCTTGAAATTTCGTTTAAAAGAAAGGGGATGGGGGGCACAAAACATTGGCATTTTGTTCTTAAGCAGTCTAAGGAGAAAAAATTATGTATTGTGCGAATTCAAGACATTATAAGGGGTCTCTAAGTCTATGCATAATGTAAGCCTCAAACAAATACTGTATTACAAATGTTATTATTTCTCATAAAAGAATGACACATTCTGTGCACCCACAAATATAAGGAGAAAAATTTTGTTCTCTTTTTACACAAGTCTTGGCAAATCTCACTATAGCCTTAAAACGCAACAAAAGACTTATTTTCTGTCTACACAGAATGAATGCCATATCAGTCCATTGAAAGACTATAATAACTCAATTTGCCGAATGAATCACTCAATTACTAGTTACAAGTGTATTGAATGCTTTCACCGCTGCGTGATGGTGTTCTAGGGGGGTCAAGATCCCAGCGTGTGACATCTGAAGTAATACTAGCATAAAGCAAAGAGCAGAGGTGGCAAAGAAAGGAAGGAAAGAGATTCATCCAACCACGATGAATTTACTCAGCAGAGTTAGCCTGGAAACTTGCCTGCCACAGATAAACCACCAGGAACTGATTCTGTTGAGACGGCAAATAACCAAATTAAGCAGGAGAAATGATGAATATATGAGTGTTGATGGTGTGTATGGGGGAAAAGGGAGGAGGAGGGGAGTTTATGTCAAGTAAGCATGATATGAGCTACAATAAATTGGGACAGATTAAGTCGAAAGTAATACTAGAAATAAAAAGAAGTGGAAACTAGGAAACACCTATTTGACCACCCACAAGCCATCAGCACTATGAAGAGTCAATGTGTGTAGAGAGATAACCTCCCCCCAAAAAGGAGGGTGGGGATGGGTGGAGGTCTTGCACATAAAGATTTAGTAGTCTAAAACACAACTCATATTTGGATAATGATAACACATAGTTGTGAGTGTGAGTGTATTTCAAAGCACTCAATCATTTGAATTAATTTGTGACGTACATCAGTCAAATAAAATGCATGCATGCAACGAATACCAAACAAAGGTATTTCATGAAAAAGTTTAGTTATATCGTACAATACATAATGGAATTGATAACAAAAAGAATAAACAAATGATTACAATGGCATCACATAAGAGCCTGCGATCTACTTGCCATGCTGTGACAGATATCAGGTGAAAAAAAATAGTGGTACACAGTTTTGAAAAATTTCTTGAAATTACTTTTTATTGGAATAAAATGTTATAAATCGGGTAGAGAAGTGCATTGTAAGCCATTATAGACGTTGAGTCTAGCCTCCTTCTATCAATGAAAACAAAAGGTAATGTCTCAAGGCATTTAATTAATTTAAAGGAGAAACAGAACGTCATCAGACATGCAAACGTTCAATTAGCATACGCAAAGTTGTACATTCTTTTATTTCCCTCCCCCTCCCCCTTTCCCACTTCCCCCTTCCTCCTCTCCTTTTTCCCTTATTCTTATCTCTTTGTATATTTCCTTAAATTCTATCACAGGCACGGACATACACACATGAGAACAACATTTGTGTCTCTAACAAAAGCAAGCCGGTGCAGAAAGGCAATACCAACCTCTTTTACCTGCAGAGTTTCTCTGTCTGGCAGAGGTGGGCGAGGCTTTGTCGGGTGTGGCAGCCTTGATCTCAAGGTTGGGCACGGAGAGTCCCCCCTCCGAGGACTGCATCAGACCCTCTGCATCTAAAGGTCAAAGACGGGCTTCTAGTCTAGCGGTCACTAGGAGGCTACTACCTATTCCATACCATGCGTCCCTAAGGTTCCTTTACAGAATGCTATACATATTTTGATTTTGAGGGAGAACATTACACAAATTGAACAATCATGATCATCCATACCATCGTTTTTCTTGAAGTATTTTGCGGACTTCGACAATTCATAACAAGTTACTCAGCAACAGTTCAGCCCCTAGGCAAACCCTATTTATTGACTTACATAAGCATATTTATATACAGAAAGCAAGACAGCATTACATACTTGAGTACCTTCAACTCTGTTAAAAGTAAGTGAAAAGTAATTGATTTCTAGTATTTCCTAAGCTTACTAATCCAGGAGTTGCGGAGGTTGAAAGACCAAAATTCAGAGTCATGAGTTTAGTTGAAAGGAACTTAAGGGGTACACAGTAAGGAGTATATATCTATATCTTAAACATGTGTTGACTGTTTGTTTACATGATATATAACCAGGGTAATTGTGTTACACGGATACACTGGAAAGAGGTAATCTGGAGCACAGTTGGCTCCCAAATAGAAAGAGTTTCAAAAGCAAAGGCAAACATTGTCGTATTCTCAGACATGAATCAAAATAATGACATTGAGGCAAAAGCATGTGAACTTGCCACTAGCAAAGTTTAATATAAGAGTATTTTCTTGCTCACATACAAAAAATACTGTGTTCATTGGGCAAGGTCGAAAACAACCCCTACTAGCAAAGTTTAATATAGGAGTATTTTCTTGCTCACATACAAAAAATACTGTGTTCATTGGGCAAGGTCGAAAACAATCTGACAATTTTTTACCATTTTCTCCTTTAAAGACAAGACATATTTTCTGAGCATTTGACAAAATAGCATGAAATGCACACCCCCAATTAACATTGCATTTTTGAAAGGGTTCAAGTCGTGCAGTCATAAAAAAACTCTTTGTTCACAATGGACAAGACTATCTCTTTTGTTTCCATGCTTTACACAGATTTTCTCATGTCATTTTTCTGTGGCTGAAAAGCACAGGTAGGCCTAAATAGAAAATTTAAACTTTAAGAGTTCCCAATAGACGAGAGTCAGAAGTGAGATAGTTATAAATTGAAGTTTATACAATGCATATTGGGTTCTCAGAGTCAATAGCACGCAGGCCATGCAACACTTTGAAAAAAGAAATTAAAATATCAAACAAATTATTCACCTCTAGAATGAAAAAAACCCAGCATGCATGCAAGCCACAATATGAATACACAAATATCGCATGCAGCTTATACTCTATGCCCTTATTTTAGAAGCCATACCTATACCTTGTCTTACTCCCGATAACAAATTCCACTCCTACTCCGAGCATAATTTCTATTCACAAATCACTAAAAGCAACAAATAAATCCAATTTAAACCTCTTCATACCAACTTAAATAGTACCCACCACATTGATCCTAAACCTTTGTTCAAATACCAATTGCATTTTACTCCCCCCCCCCTCCTCTTCATTCCTTCTATCATGTAAGGAATTAAAACTTTAAAATAACTCTGTTTGATGTCCAGCTTGCAGTCCACCGCAAGATGACAAGGTAAAGGCCCCATTTTGTCTAGCAGTGAACAAGGACAAAAGAGAGATTGAATAGAAGTAGAAGGATCAGACTCCCACCTTGGCACTCAGGCCCTACCAATAGACAAACAACTCCTACCTCGACCAGTCTCCCCAGTCATGTCTCCCTCGTCCAGTTTTCTCTTCTCTTCCTCCTCATCACGTGCAGCCCGGGCCAGCGCAGCAGCCTTGGCCAAGTTTAACTTGTTCGCTTCCAGGTAGGCCATCTCAGCTCCAATCTCATTGGGTACAGCATCGTAAAACAGACCTGAGGTATCCACAACGAATAATCAGAGTTTTAATCAGGATGAAAAAAGGGCACGCCAGCCAGTACACCAGGGCATCCGCCAACCACCCACACCCACATAAAACGCTCCACTCTCAACAGTAACTTACAACAAAAGGAACCGTTTAACACCTGTATTCATCAACTGCCAGGTCTGCTACAGACATCGGGGATGCCCTTCAAAACATCTTTCAGGTGAATAAATCATTTCTGATTGCCAGGAACAAAACCAAATTGTTTTTGATATTTCCGGTCTTAGACTTTCTCGCTCTTCCCATTAGTACTTGCAACAAAATTTTCGTAAAATGACTCATAAGGCTTTATGGTTATTTTTTCGTTATTGCTTTTTTTTCTTCTGCAACACCTGTATAGCAAATAAAAACCCCCCCAAACAACCAATGCCCTATGGTCCCTCACCCAACATGGTCCAAGCCAAGATGCTCTTTGGCTCAACGCAAGTGGCAGCTTCAAAGAAAGTCTCTGCATGCTCGTTCCTCTCAGACAGCATACAGACCACACCATACAACAGCAGACTGTGGATCATATTACAAACAGGGGATCAAGTAAGGGGGAGGAAGGAAGGGAAGGAAAGGAGAAGGAGAGGATAGCAAAAGATGAGTAAGGTCGACAAGAAGGGCAGATAAGGGATGGGAGCGGATAGGAGAAAAATGAGAGAGATATGGAAGAGGGATAGAGAGTGGTGACAAAGGTGTATTTGAGGTAGGAGCAGAATAAGGAAGGGGAGGATAATGAAGGATGGGAGAGTGAGGGGAATTTGGAGGGGGAGAGTGAGACGACAGGGGGATTGGTGGGGGGGGGGAGGGAGGGATAGATAGATGATGGATGGAGTGTGATGGGAGGTGAATGGTTTGGGGAAGGGGAGGGAGTAATAACTTAATAAATACAGAGCGAAGAGGAGGGAAAAAAAAACCAAGAGAAAAAATATTGTAAAAACTCACCCTTGAAGATGTTTCTGGTTGATAGCAATGCATTCTTTGAAGCACTCTTCTGCCTGCAAACATGGAGATAATTTATTATAGTAAGTACATTGTAAAAAGAGAATCTGGAAGTCAGTGAGGGCGATGGTATTCCAGGTCTACACAACAATCTCATTGAACATATTGCTATTAAGCAAACTGGCATCCCATATAAAATACTTAAAATATATTGGTATCCCACCATCATAGCTTAGTAACTGATAAAAATGCCCTTAATTGATTTACTCTTAGACGATTTCAGTCTACTTCTAGATAAAAATAGCCTAAATCAAAGAGTAAAGCAGGCTATTGTATCTCAGTCCCCCAAAATAGAGACATTGTCAACATACACAGGCATACCAAAATTTTATTTTCAAACCTTCAGTCATGATAATCAGTATTCAAGACACTCACTATAACTCCCCTAATTGAAGAAGACAGCACAATCAGTCACAGAGTTGAAATAGTGATACTGTGAAAATCAACCCTATCATTTGTCAAGAACATATTTTTGTATGTATTCAAAACCAAGGAATTTCAATTTGAAACCTATTTATGGCAATACAAACCAGCAAATTCTCCTACTGACCTTTGTAATATCATTGATGTACAAGTTGAAAGTGCCAAAGTCAAACCAACAGTCTGCATCATTCTTGTCTCTGGCGATTCTCTGAGGAAAAAACCCACAATATCCTGTGACCCACAAGTAACAGTTTTTACACCCACAAAAGAACATAGACAAAAACGAGGTACACACACTTTAAATGTTCAAGACTGATTGAGTCTTATAAAGTGCATCAGATAATCTTATCATTCAAAGAAGCCTTATCTGCTCATTTTCATTCAGTAAGTATCTCAATATGCAAATGTGTGAGTTCAACAGTCACAGATACTGTCACAGATACAAAGGGTCAAGTGCCTCCTTGTTTAATCAGGTATGGTATAGTACAGTATGAATTTCACACCCCTTTTAAAATGGTAGGATTACTTAAGAGGCAGACCATCTGATTTAATACCCATTCCTGACAGGACAACAGTATCAAATGTGAGGGCAGCCATGAAAACTATAACAAGTACATTTGAGGATAATCTCCTTGAAAACTCGTCAGAGGACCCACCACCTGCGAAACATTCCAAATTGATGCCACAAACCTGACAGTGTGAACAGTTTGTACTAAAAAGGTTATAAGATTTAGTCTAAGGTTTTAGAATTCCTCCTTCTCTCACACCCTTTTTCAACACCCTCCCCCCCCCACTCCCCACTCCCAAATGCAAGCAAATATTTGGCAAATACTTAGAAGTTTCTATTTCATTTCAGTTTTTCTCATTTACATATAATGTTTTGGACAATAGATCATTTGTAAAAGCGTGTGCAGAACTGAAAGAAAACTTAAATAGCTCCATAACAATTGTTATTCCCCTCCTACTGTAAAACAAACCACTTCGTCCTACCTCCTTATAGTATGTCGCAGCGAGGTCAAAGTTCTGGTTAACCTCAGCCTCCCTGGCAAAGTGTTTGAGTTGGGCTCCATCGGTCAGTGGCTGGGGCACAGGTGGCTGGTCCTCTAGGGCTAAAACACGACCAAGAGACACATGCATCTGGTCGATGAGGTAAACATACAGCTCCGAGAGGAATGTCTGAAACACAGATAATAAAAGTATTACACTCTATTTACTTAATGTAGATATGATTTACAACAAACAGTTGAGTCTACATCCCCCCCCCCTCAACATAAGAGCATTTTATAAATTACATTAACAATATTTGTACACTTTCTTACAATGCATATTGCCAATTGAAAAAAAGATAGTTTTTTTAAAAAACCACATAAACCACGCCTTACTTTTACTATATCTCCATTCATATGAACACCACGCCCAAAAAAATGCCTTCTCTGGATGTTCATTTTATACCAAGTTTGTTTCATGTTTTGAAATCCTAACAGAAACCAATTGTTATTAAGGATAGTTATTTTTTAACTTAACTTGAACATATCTACTCATATCAAATAATTGGCAGGGGACCATTTTGAAATCAACTACGGTATTTGATTACAGACATGCATGTACGACATTCATACCTGCAGTTCCTGTCTGTCATCAAAACCAGAGGTCTTCAGATATTTCTCTCTGACAATCTTCACTACTGAATGCTTCAGTTGTTCCTTGAAAGCAAAATATTTCCCAGAGGAATTCAGCTCATAGATGAGCTTCTGGCGGCTAAAAAATAAAAGAAAATATCAAGTCAGAAATAGAATAAATGGTTTTTTTCTGCAGTCAATAAATAAAAAAGGTAATAAAAAAACCAAATTAAAACATTCTATTCATCCCGACAGATTTTGCTGTGATTGTTCAGTTTGCTTATTTCTTTGACCACCAAACAAAATTCAAGGTAACGATCTTGGTGACTACTATATTTTTCAAATAATTCCTGGAAGATTTCTTTCTCAGCCTATAGACCTGATGCATGACCACATGCATAGTCAAGAGCTGCTGTTTCTTTGGTGTTTCTGTCTATTTTGCTTTCATCTTGCATTTAATCACCGTTGTCATGACAATAAGCTTCTCTTTAACTAAAACCTCCTCTGTCTTCTCTTTCTATTCCTATTCTCCACCTAGCCACCATAGTCTCCAGTTATCCCTTCCCTTTATCTACTACCCCCTCCCCCCTTCACCCAATTCAAGGCTGGAACAGTCCTGTTTAAGCTTTAGTAAGAGTTCTACTGCACTTGCAACACAATATGTTACGCTACAAGAGAGTAACAAACACAAAAAAGGAGGGTAGATAAGGACGATAGATGTTTGATAGGAACAGTCCACACAACCACTAAATGATCCTGTAAACAAGCACCACTCACCGTGCCTCCATTGCCTCATTTGTCTGAGGTTCACCCTCCTTGAGTTCGTTTCCAAAGAGATCTCTGGAAGAGATAAGTTTACAAGCTCAAACTCAAGCAGTCTGAAAAAATGGAGCATTAGTATCTACGAGCAAAAACCAGTTGGTGTGCAGTCGAACCTGCTGCATTCAGAGATGCCCCAAAATCTTGAATGTTCGATCAGCACCAACTCCCCCCCCCCCCAACCCCCAAAACACAGCAGGAAATCGCACTTGGGAGTCCCCTTAGAGCGTCAGGTTGTTAGGGCTGAAACACTTGCTTGAAAGGGGTTCTTCCTCTGAAGATCTCCTGTTGTCCCCTCGCCTCATGAGTTTTCTCCCACACTACAAACAAAAACAAGTTGGTATACAGTCGAACCTGCTGCGAAGGTCACCTGTTCAAGATGATCACCTATACAAATGACCACTGCCACCTTTCTCCCTTGAGCCTTTCCTGTATTATTAATGACACCGGCCAAATCACCCACCTATCTAAGACAGCTGATTTTTCTCCTTGACAATGGGTGGCCATCTTGGACAATTTAGACTGTACTTCAAAAGATATGCAGAACGGTCATCCCTGTGACAACCCAAGATCATAATATCAAAATGAACAAAAGCCAAACAGAAAGCAGTTTAAGAATATATCTCAATGAAAGCCCAAACAGTTGTTGGAAATTTTGTAAGGGGGAGTTGAATGTTTGGCCAAGGGTTTTTTGGATTAAAGGTGGACAGTGTTTACAAGCTGGTTTCTGCCCAAAATAAAATTACTTTTTAGTGAGACTAATTGTAAAACTTAACATGAATGCTATTACATAACAGGAACAATTACGTATAAAAGTAAGGGAAAATAAGAACTTTGCCTTCAGCCACACAAACCATCTACTGCATGCTCTATAAATTCAAACAAAAGAGACAGCCATTACCTGAACTCATCCAGTATCAAGTTTGCCACGCTAGCCACTTGAGAATGGTAGTCCTCCACAGCCTGAAAGGCAAAAACAAACCAAAAATAAGTTTTTTTCTCTTTTCAAGAAATGTCTTTTCAGAAAGGCACTTCACATAAGCAAAGATGCAAAACATTTTACAGTAAAGTGTCTCCCAGCTGTTCAGATGTACCAGCCCAAAATTTTGAAAATTTCTTTTAATGTAGTTTCCTGATTTTAATTTGGGAAAACAGTTCATTTGGTCATGAACAATATGGCCAAAGTTCAAATTTTAAGTGTTGAAAAAAAGCAAGAAAAGAAACATAGTGTAGAAGAATTGAAACAGTGTTTTTCTCTATCTTTAAAAATTTTTCTTTCTCTGCTTAAGACATTTGAACAGCTTGCCCACAAAATCTTGTCTGGTATGGTATTCATTTCAGTCAGTTCACCATCTGTGCAGAGCATCAAATAAGACATCTCAGATTTTTAAAATCCATCTAATGTAAGACCAGGCAAAGTTGTTGGAGAGCCATAAGACTCCCCAAGTTGTCAGAGTTCAAGCACCTCACATTGCGAATTCAAAGAAAGATCACCCACATCACACTACATCATGGCACCAACCAAGTCAATAGTGAATGCTTAAAAAAAGTGAATGTCAAAGACTGAATAAAACAGAGGTAAAATATTACAATTTTCTCCTGAGAGAAAAAAAAAAGGGGGGGGGGGGTGTCACTACTCTAATTGAAGTGAGTGAAAGAGAAAAAAAATCTGTGAAAAGATATGCTGAACAACCAAAAAAACTGACCCTCTGGGCTCCATCTGTGCGCTTGGGAAACATCGGTCGAGGAGGAATCAACTCAGCCACCCTGTGGAGATTCCAATAGGATAAGACATCTCCAAAAAAGACCTTGTGTCAATCAGGAAAACTAAAATGGCTGACAAAAATACATGTCTTAACCATAAAAGAACATCAGAAGGGACATCATCATTTAGCACAATCCCTACCACTTAAAAGGATGTTTTATCAAAGACCGAAGGTTAAAAAGTAAAGAAAAATCATCATCATCATCATCATCATCCAGTGCCAGATCTGCGACAGACATCGGCGATCATGATTTTTCATTCATTCCTTTGCTCGGATGCTCTCCGAAAAGCTACGTTTCCCTGATCTTTCCCTGTTACCCATTTGTTTAGGTTCCCTAAATATGTTGTTCTGGGCCTACCCCTGCCTCGCTTGCCCTCAATTTTACCAGTGAGAGCAGATGTTCAAGACCCTTATGTCTATTCAGGTGTCCCAAAAACTGCATTTGTCCTTTCCTGATTGTTTTTAACATTGAGCGTCCCACGTGGGCTTCATCAAGCACTGCCTCATTTGATTTCTTTTCCTTCCACGATACTCTTAGCAGTCTCCTAAGAAACCACATTTCTGTTGCCTCTATTTTATTTTCACTGTCTTTAGTGATTGTCCAGCACTCACAGCCATATAGAAGGGTTGACCAAACATAGCATTTCAGGACTTTTATTTTGGTGTTCATTGATATGTTTCTATTTTTCAGGATTGGGCTCATTTTATTGAAACTAGCCTTAGCCATTGCAGTTCTCCTTTTTATTTCTGCGGAAGATTTGGCATCAGATGTTATCATATATCCTAGATATTTAAACTGTTGGACTTGTTTGATCTTTTCACCTTTGCTAATGAGATTACAACTAGTATTTGCTGCTTTTTTGGATATTACCATGCATTCTGTTTTCTTTACATTCAACAATAATCCTTTACGTTCACTTTCTTTTACAACAGTGCCTAGAAGCATTTGAAGGTCCTTTTTGGAGCCTGCTATTAAAACCGTGTCATCTGCATACCTGATGTTATTAATATTTTCTCCATTAACTTTGAGGCCTGGACATTCTTCTATGTTTCTAAGGATTGTTTCACTGTACATATTAAAGAGGTCTGGTGACATAACACATCCATGCCTCACTCCTCGCCTAATCTGCTTATATTCACTGTATTCTCCATTAATTCGTACAGCAGGTTTTGGTGCAAGTACAAATTTCTGATAATTCTTAGATCTTTTCTATCTATGTCTAGAAAAATCCTCTAGAAAAAATGTGAAAATAAAAGATAAATGATTCGACTGAAATTTATTCTATGGCCTGCAAATACTTGTATTGGCATTTCCCAGGAACATTTTCATCAAAAGTTCGCTATTTAAATGTTTTTAACCTCATTGCTAACAGAATATCATATCAGCAGCTCATTTTAAAGTACGAACTTCTAATAACAACAATAAGGACACTCAGATGAGCAAACAGTACCTTCTGGCGAGTGCCTCTGGAGGCCTCTTGGGCACAAGCGGTTTGTCCAAGCAGATCTCCATCATGATGTATGAGCGGGCCTCTGTGTACTGCTGGCCTTCTATGTTCACTGGAGCCTGACCTTCAGCCTCTGACCCCGTGTCAGACTTGCCTTGAGATGTCTGCAGACATAAGATATAATCTTATCAAACAGAAAGAAATGAAAATTACCTATGCATTTTAGAGTTTTGACATCTTCATCTAAAGTATAATTTTCAGTTGGTCAGCAGATGCATGATACATGAAGCACTTTGATTTGATAGAGAAATACCATTACCATCATTAACATAGATAGCAAAGCCATCTGACAGAGATTTTGATGAGAGCAGGTGTACGTAAACTGTCTCCCAATTAAAGGACAGTTGTGCAGTATATTTTCTCAACAATATTGTTTAACAATACAAATTTTCCCTTTAAATTATTTTCTGTTATTTTCTCACTGTATAGAAAATGTAAAAGAAATAGTGAATGAAGAAATAAAGCTGTACACTTTTCAACCTTTTCTCATATTATTTACTTACTTTCTTTACTTTCTTTTCTCTCTTTTTAAATTCTGCCTGTTTTTTCCTTAACACATTATCGTACATCTACTTATACATTTTTTCCACTGCATCCACCAAAAAGAGGATGGAGAGAATGAGATAACTGCATTGACATTTCCACATAAACCAGTTTGCAAGGTTGATAAATTTACAAGGAGCAGAGTTATATGAATAACCTGTTGCCCCTTCGACATCCCCTGACCCACCAAATAAAATATATTCCTTTCAGTAAAGTAGTAAAGAGAAAGTATTTTCTACAATGGTCACTTTTTTTAATGGAGCAGGGGGGGGGGGGGTGTCAAAGAATTAATGTATGTTAGTTTACAACACTTTCATTGTTGACACTTCAAAAGACAGGGTGTTATTGACATTGTATTCAACAGCAGTCTCGTCAATATAACATACACTGTGCAAAGTCACAGAAACACTAAAGTGGTCAAAAAGAGGACAAAGATAAATAAGATAACAGGAAATTTTAATTTCAAATAAAGACTAAAGAAAGACAAATCATTTGAAACAGTAATCTATCCTCTTTTTTGTTGCAATGATAGCTTTCAAAGACTTTGCTTTCAATATTATTTTTACCCAATCACTTTCCAATACGAAGAGAGGAAAGAAAGAGGTAGGTGTGGAAAGTGGAAAGATGTATTCGTGTGTCTGTGTATATGTGTGTATGTGTAAGTGTATGTGTGTGAGTGTGTGTGCGAGAGTGTGTATGTGTGTGTGTGTGTGTGTGTGTGTGTGTGTGTGTGCGTGAGTCTGTGTAGGCATGCTTGTTTACATGTGTACTTGTGTATGTCTGTGTGTATGGATCTGGAGGTGGGTGCTACAGTAGATATGTTTTAGATAAATAAAGGTATCTTAGCTTGACGTCTAACCACTGGAAGGTTTGAGTCAGATCAGACAGAAGACACCCGTAATAAGACTACACTTTTTATACATCTCCCAAGGTGATAGATACTGGAGAAACACATAACTCAGGGCTGCAATATCCATCTGCAAGAAGTAGTGTAGAATGATTTTTCTCTGTTCCCAGAGCCAAAAAGCTAGAATATGTCTTGTACAAATAGATACACCATAAAAACATAGATATTAGAGTTATATGTCATAATCAAGCATAATGGTTGTGCTGTTTCACAACTGTGCACTATGAGGCACTTCAAGAAGATTATCATACAGTGAGTGAGTTAACAATATGAAGTGCTTCACCATAACAGACATCTTTTATCAATACAAGCTGTTGGATCCTTGAACAGATTATGTGAAACTGTTTTTATGTCAACAAAACTTGAGTATACCAAACCAATGACAGACCAAACCTATAAATCTTGATCTAACAGTAGAATTCACAGATGACACATGTACATATTAACTACTTAGAGTAAGAGTCTACAATACGTCACTTTTCAAAAAGGTGTACGGCGGAGTCTTACACTAAGCAGTTGACATAAGCTAATTTCATAATCAATTCATTCTTCATTTGATGTATAATGCATGAAGTACAAATGGAAAAATCAAAATTCAATCAAGTATTTGTTCTGATCCCAACAAATGTTGCAGTGTACATTGCTTCTCCAATACTCCACTGGACTTGGTCCCAATCAGACTTTACTTTCTAATCAGTACCGACAAGTCAAAGTTTTTCACTATCATCATAATAAAAAATTCATCGAGAATAGTTAGACTTATTAAATTGTTTTAGATAATCTTGCAGTCAGTCAGTCCTCAGAGTTTTATGGCGGGGGCTCTCGTGGCCTAGAGGTTAAGGTGTTCGCCTCTCATTCAAAGGTCCCGGGTTCAAATCCGGGTAGCGGCCGAGAAATTTTCTTCTCTAAAATTGTCTCCTATCCCCTCTTTTCCTGCTCTCTAGCAATGTTCTGTCATCTGCTTTCGTCTCCACTTTGTGCCTCCACCCCCTCACCTCCTTTGCCCCCTCCTCTGGGCTCCTGACTCTTTCTGTAGCCTTTCTACTGTTACTCCTCAGCTCCTTACTGCTGTCTTTCAGCCACACCCCTGATCTTCTGGTAGGAAAGATCTACACTTAGCCTTCTCGGACAAGGGTGAAAAATCTCGGGGGTCCCGTGTGCAAGTTGCGCACGTTAAAGATCCCTTGGTGTTCCAAAATCGATGAGTAGGTTTTGGCCGCCATCCGGGCCAAATTCAGAATTTTCTACCTACTGAAAATGTTTTATGTGACCCGCGCGCTCATAAGACCTTATACAGTTGCGAGCACTGTAAAACACTAACCAAAAAAAAAAGAAGTTTTATGGCGCTCGTAAACGACAAACAAGTTTATTTGACACAGTCAGCGCCATCAAGTATATAAACATCCAACAAACCTCAAACGGTAGAAACACTTGTTTCATTTCAGCCCTTTACTTGATTTTAAAATGTTTTATCCGACGTATAACTTCAAGTGAGTTTTTATTGTAATGATAATTTGGACCAGCCCCAACCCCCAATCAACACAATTAAGATCCAGTAGGATGGAGGCTGATTCGACACTCCTGAATAGGACCAACCGAGGCGGAGGGAGATACAACATCCTAACAGAAAGATAGAGACAGTTGATAAAATAGACTGCCTCATTCTGGAATTGTTTTCACATTTCCTGCAGGTAACAAGGAAGAAGCCAAACAATTACATTACAGACACTGGTCTTTACTTTAAGTAAGAGTTTTATGGCACTTGCAACACAATTAGGTCACATAAGTGCCGAAGATTAAACGTGCTTTTAGAGAGTAGCAAACAAAGAAAAGAAAATGGACAGATAAGGATGATAAATGCTTCAAGGCAAATAAGGCGCAAACTACACCAGGGCACCCTTCAACTGCCCATGCTGGTCTGAAACTTTTCTCAAGTGACGGACAAGACATAATCTGCTGCTGCAAACTGCACAGCTAAATCAGTAGCAGCATGAAAGCAATGCTTATTCATTGTTTTAGCTCGTTTTGTCAAAAGAGGGAAATTAAAGGGGTAACAGCGTACAGAAACTGTACAACAAACAAAGAGACAGTCCAAGAGATTGAAGAACAGAGCTACACATTAGAATACACTGACACTGAGACACACTAACGACACTGAGACACACATATGTGTGTGTACATTACATGAGGAAAGAAATAGGCCTAGAGACGGAGGCCAATCTGAAACAGAGTATCTTTATATAAAAACCATTTTACATGATGAATGGCAAACATTACTTGTTATCTTAAAAATATAGCCGCTTAAAAATATAAAATTCATATGTACATTGTAGTTTTGAGCTGAAAAAAAAGGTGGAGGGGGTTGGGTTTATAAAAATTGAAATTTGACCAAAAGGAAGTATGAAAAAGAAGAGACAAATTAATGGGGACACAGAAAGAAAAAAACAAAGGGAGTCAAAAGACTAGAACGTATAGACGATTCGCCGAGTTAGACTTCTGCAAAAACAACACTCCTTGCAAACAGCACTCTGGTCAAAAGCATGGCAACATACATCAGGCTGGATCACTTAACAACTACAGGAAAACAAAGCTCACACATGTTTGAAAAACCGCACCATGGCTGTGGCACCCACAAGTGGGCGGTGGCTTGCAGCGAGAGCATGCAGCTGCTAAAGGGAACGTTCAAATGCCCAGCAAAAATTGCTTGTGGTTGCACATTAACCCATTTCTAAATACCAGCTTTAACACTTTGACATCACCAGCTTGCAGATTCATGTACGGCTTGCAGATCAAATCAATATTCACTGTTTGTTTAATTTTTCAGAGGACCCTTGAATGACATTAACATCATACAGGTACCCACTGAATAAAAAATCGGCCAGTATATGATTTAAAGAAGCCCCTTCTCCCATCATTTGTACCTGCAGTGAAAAACAAATGTCATCAAATATCAGTCACAGTTTAACCCTTCCAAAGCTTTGTGAGGAATTTTTGGGATTTTTATAAAAAAACCCAACAATTTTAAACAGGACTTTTCGGATTGAGGATAATCGAATAAGACAAATTTATTTTCATTATGCAACAAGCAAATCCGCTGGGCAAGAGAACGAACCCCCGAGAGCTGCGAAGCTTCGTAAGACACAAGGTACCCACCTCCATCTCACTCGAGTGCTGCAACACACTATTGGAGCGCTGTGAAGGAAATCATTGGGGGTCACGAAGCTTTCCTTGATTGTAGAGGTTCAAGCACATCACATAAATCACCACTTAAGTGCTAGTGCAACTAACACATTTAGTTTTTTGATAAAATGAATGTTTAAGAATTGTTTCTTGGGCTTTTCCTTTTGTTTTGTTTGCTTGTATTTTTTTTGGTTAAGGTTATTTTAAGTTTGTCAATTCCAAAGGTTTTCAGGTCTACTTTCTTCTTCACTATATGGTCATAATTGTATTGTTGAAAGGAAAATTTGGGATGGATTTTATTGGGGGGGGGGGGGGGTGTAACTATTATGAAAAATGACTCTATAAATCCAAATCACTGCTTTAGATAAAATGTCTTAAATTCTAAAGAAATGAGAGAAACCTATGCCTAGGGCAGGCTTATGTGCAGGGTTTCACAAAAAAGATGCTTCCGTTTCATGCACCTTAAATAAGAATATCCCCCAAAATGAATAAAACATACTGTAAACTATGAGCTTTGGAAAAATAGATCATGAAAGTTTTTCTGATTGTTTCACAACCATTGCTTACAAAGTGGGTAAAAAAAAAACCACAAATAGATTTTAGCAAATCAAAGTACTTGTATTATTCGTTATTTAATAACATGTATTTTGCTGGTTATAGAAATTAAGGTGACAAAAGCAAGACTCTTTTTATAAGTAAAAAAATAGGACCAGTAAGGGGGTGGGGGATTAGGCAAGAATGGTGGTTCAGTATCCTAGAGGGAAGATGTTTGCTTTCTCATGCCAAAGTACCTTGTTGAATTCTCCATTCATTCAGACATTGCACGTACATAACTTCAGCTTTTTCCAATTTTTCACACCCATGATCACAAGCTATAAAAGACTTGAATACAAATAAAGGTAGAAATCACAATGACCACAGCATTTTGTTCACTCATATAATATGTATTGCGTTCAAAAGCTTCCTCGCTCTTTTATAGATGTGTTTCTGTCTTAGGCATCTTCACGTTCGGGCAGCTTCACATTATATTGTTTTCATATCAATTTGTCAATGGAAAACATGAGAAACACTACATTCCAGAAAGAAAACAGACCATAAGAGTCAAGTTAGAAGACTTAAATTGCTAGTTAAAGTATCCTACCTAGGCCTACATAGGATAACCCTAGATCTAGAAGACAAAAGTCAGGAAGAAGAAGAATGATCGCAAGGACTGTGTGACTTTTTGAAACACCTCTACCAAGAAGAAACAATTAGACTAACTAAATATATTTTGATAGGCTTAAGATGATCACAAAACTGACTGAAACCAACAATGCTGCAGGGAGAGACAAAGGGAAAAAAAAGAGAGGGGGGAGGGGTGGTGGGATAGGAGAGAGAGAGAGAGAGGGAGAGAGAGAGAGAGAGAGAGAGAGAGA